CCCTCCCCCCCCAGCCCCCCCCATCCCCTGAGTGACCTCCACACTCACCCTCCCCATCACCTCAGTGACCTCCACACCCAGCCCTCCCCATCACCTGAGTGACCTCCACACCCAGCCCTCCCCGTCACCTGAGTGACCTCCACACTCAGCCCTCCCCATCACCTGAGTGACCTCCACACTCAGCCCTCCCCATCACCTGAGTGACCTCCACACTCAGCCCTCCCCATCACCTGAGTGACCTCCACACTCAGCCCTCCCCATCACCTGAGTGACCTCCACACTCAGCCCTCCCCATCACCTGAGTGACCTCCACACTCAGCCCTCCCCATCACCTGAGTGACCAGCCTTCCCCGTCACCTGAGTGACCTCCACACTCACCCTCCCCGTCACCTGAGTGACCTCCACACTCAGCCCTCCCCATCACCTGAGTGACCCCCAGCCCTCCCCGTCACCTCAGTGACCTCCACACCCAGCCCTCCCCGTCACCTCAGTGACCTCCACACCCAGCCCTCCCCATCACCTGTGTGACCTCCACACTCAGCCCTGTTGCACTGGAGGCCTAGCCATGAAAGGATTCTCTGTACTGAGGTGGGCTGGGCCTCCAGCCTGGAACTGCTCAGGAAGCTCTTGCCCACAGGCCTGTCTTGGAGGACAGGCTTCCTCTGTTTCCCCTCCTCCTCCCTCAGCCCCCAGAGCCTTGATCAGGTTGTGCCAGTGAGTCTGAGGGAGTCCAGAGCCACCACCTCTCTGGGATTGCCAGTTCAGGGAACCAGTGCCTACAACCCATCTGGGGAAGAAAAAGCCAGAGGGGACCCCGTGGGTGTACACAATGCCCAGTGAGGTGCATGAAGGGGGCCACCCATGAGCCTCCTCAGCAGCTCTCTGTGCTGAGCCTGGCCTCCAGCGTATCAGAAAGCTTTAGTCCGAGAACCTCTGACCAGTGAGGGACACTGAGTCTCCAGGAGAGGGACTGCGCTGTGGTGAGAACTAAGATGTGCCAATTCCAATCCCCGGATGTCAGCCATCATGAGGGGTATGTTCAGGTGTGTACCAGGAGCCTCTGGAAGGAACCACAGAGCGAACATCACCCCCATCACAATAAAAGCCATAACATTGGCCAGGCAGGCCCCGCCCCCCCCCCCCCAGTAAGCTGTATGGAACTAAAAGAAACTCACAGAAAGAAAAGGGCTCACTGTACTGACTGTACCCCTTGGTTCTTAGCTCCTCTCCGTCTTGCCTCTGTGCCTCTGCATGCCCTGTCCCCTCATCCTGAGTGCCCTCCCTGCCTCACATGGGGAGCTCCTGCTCTGCAGCAAAGATCTGGCTGGGTGTCACCTTTTCCAGGAAGCCCTCCTTGATATCCCAGCCAAGCATCCCTCCCGGCACAGTTCTGAGTGCATTCTCACAGCAGCTCCCCGAGATGCAAAGAAAGCACTGCTGTACTGTCCTATCCGACAGGTGAGGGAACTGAGCCCCAAAGACAAGCTTAGTTCCGAAGCAGAGCAGACTCTAGAGCAGGGGTTCCCAACCTTCCTAATGATTCGGCCCTTTAATACAGTCCTTCATGTTGGGGTGATCCCTCAACCATAAAAACAGTTGCGTTGCTACTTCGTTAGCTATAATGTTGCTACTGTTGAGAATCACAATGTAAATACCTGTGTTTTCCAACGGTCTTAGGTGGCCCCTGTGAAAGGGTAATTTGACCCCAAGGGGTTGCGACCCACAGGTTGAGAATGGCTGCTCTGTCGCCTCCCTCTGCATAGCGCTGTACCCCTGAGGCACCTGGCTCCCTGATATGGGTGAGTTAAGGGTGCACAGGGGCGGAGGGTGCTGAGGATGTGAGGAGGGGCCCCTGGGAGATGGTGCGCTCCCAGTGTGTGGAGGCAGAGACTGAATGAGCAGCAATGTGGGGCTCAGGGCAACAGAGAGGGAACTGTGTCTCTGTGTGCTGACCACCAGGAAGTCTGAAGATGTTCTACGGCTTACGGTATGCACCACAGGCCTAGGACTCCAGAGCCCCTGATGAATGGCATGGCTCTGCCCATAGCCGCAGGGTTCACCAGAGCCTGGCCATGGCAGAGCCATATTGTAACTTCCATGGGTCCTAGGCTTTTGCAGTCACTCCTACCCTGGGGGAAAGTATTCAAATTATTTTTAAATACTGGGTTGATATATAAAAAGATAATGTTGTAACATTTTCCTTCACCTAAACATTCACATTTTTTCTTTTTTATTTATTTTTTTCATACTTTTTCTTTTGAAGCTGCTTTTATGTGTTTCACAGTGTCCCTGGGCTACATACACACAGCCACGGGACACGGAAACATCTGCTACATTTACATTAAAAATGGGAATGTGGGCCAGGCGGTGGTGACACACACCTTTAGTCTCAGCACTCAGGAGGCAGCAGCAGGAGGATCTCTGTGGGTTTGAGGCCAGCCTGGTCTACAGAGTGAGTTCCAGGACAGCCAGGGCTACACAGAGAAACCCTGTCTTGAAAAACCAAAAAAGAGAGGTAAGATGGGTGAAGATCTCCACTCCTGGAACCCATGGAAAGATGGTAAACCAACTAAACTTTTTTGATGGGTAGGGGGAAAGAAATACAGCTCAACAAGGGAAAGGCTACACATGAGACCTCAGACTGGAGGCCGAGAGCTGGCTCGGCAGGAAGGGCACAGCACCCGCCAGGCAGCTCACAACCTTCTGTAACACTAGTTCCTCCAGTTCCGGGGGCTCTGATACCCTCTTCTGCTGTCTCTCTCTCGGTTTACTTGTTGCTGTTTTTATTTTTTGAGACAGGGTCTTACTATGTAGCCCTGGCTATCCTGGAACTCACTCTGTAGACCAGGCTGCCCTGGAACTCACAGAGATGCACCTGTCTCTGCCTCCTGAGTGCTGGGACTAAAGGTGTGCGCCACCACTGCCTGGCCTTTTTTGGTCTCTTAAAGTATCTTTTGTACATATGGTACACATAAATGCATGCAAGCACACACATACACATGAAACAATAAATAAACATTTTTTTAAAGAGACAGGACTACAGTGAGGAGGCTCACCAGAGCCAACTGCTATTCACATAATCTTCCTCCCACCCCCACCCTCCCCCCCTTCAGGCTTTCATGACTCTGTCTCTGTGAAGGATGCTGGGGTTGAAGCCAATTGTCACACCTGACTCATCAGAGAGCCTCTTCTCTTCTGTGGCCAAAGCATCTCCAGAATCTACTTGCCACCCAGGTCCACGCACCCTTATGGCTCACCTGCTCTAAGCTTAACCTAGTAGGTCTCCCCATCTAGCCTGAAGGCTGTGTGGTGCTGGGGAAACAGGTCACATATCCATTCCCCTGTCTCTGAATCTGTGCCCGATCTGTGCTCCAAGGAGAGGCCCCTTGACACCACCACCCTTCCCCTTTTCCGACATCATGGAAGATTTTCATTTATGTCTTCTGCTTCCTGCTTGGAAAGAAGCCTCCATGAAGCCAAGATGTTATCAGCTAACCGCCCCCCCCTAAGGCCTGCCCACAGGATGACGCTCACTAAATAACTGTGGAATGGGGAGGTGACCGGTTCCTCTTACTCCCTCACAATGACAGTGATTTTTCTCAAACACGTTTGGAAGCTAGGACTATGTCCCAGTTGGTAGCGTGCTTGTGTAGCATGCGTGAGACCCTGGGTTAGTTGTGACACCACATAAACCAGGTGCGGTGAGTGATGCCTGTCTGTAATCCCAGCACTCAGGAGGTCAAGGCAAGAAGAGCAGAAATTCAAGGTCATTCTTGACTACATAGTTGCAAAGTAACTGGGAGGTAGCTCAGTGGGAGAGCAGTGACCTCACTGATGGAAGCCCCAAGGTTCATCAGCGCAGCCCAAAACAAAGCAAAGCAAAAAGGAAAACAGCATTGCTTCCTTTACAATCTTAAAGTCAATATCACTAACCCCCAACATCCAGTGAAATGCTGGGTGGGCATGGCAGTCCACTTACAATCTCAATGTGATGTGTATGGAGACGGGACCCTGTGAGCAAGCTGGCTAGCTAGACTAGGAGAACTGGCAAGCTGTGGGCTCAAGAGAGGGACCCCGCCTCAGTGAATAAGGTAGACGACAATCGGGAAGACAGCCATCAACTTTGGGTCTCCACATGTTTGTGCACACCGTGTGCATGTACCCCCACACATGTGTGGCCACATACATGTGAGCTAGCCTGCACGTATGTCCACCACAGGCATGTACAGAATTCTAAAACTGGAGAAGAGGCCAGGCGTGGTGGCATGCATCTGTCATCTCAGTACTGGAGTGGCAGAGGCAGGAAGATCATGCATTCAGAACTATCTTCATCCACACAGTGAGCTGAAAGCCAGCCTGGGCTCTAGGAGATTCTGTCCCAGAAAACCCAAGCAATCGAACAGAAGAAGTGGTATGCGGGATACCTACATATGCCTTGGATGTACAGAGCTGCCCAGAAAAGAAAGACACACAAGATGATGGAACCAGTGCTCGGCTCCAGAAAGGAAACCCGGGTGGCCGAGCCAGGCGGGAGGGGGACTTTTGAATGTGTAACCCTTTGTACCACTGGAATTCTTCATACTGTGAATGAATCACCTATTCATAAAAATAAAGACATTACAATTTCAGTGGGCAGGCCCTTATTCCAAGGCAACAGGAGACTATTCAACCAGCGTGGAAAAACACTGGTGCGGGAGCAAGAAGTACAGTTCTGAATCCCAACCCCTTGGAGTGCTCCATCAGAAAAGTGGAGGGGCCTGGGCAGCAGAGGGCCTCTGACACTCCCCCCACACAACTCCCTGAGTGCTTCCTGGACCGTGAGAAGGGGACTAGTACCTCCTGTGGAGGACGCTGGGAGAATCACTAAAAATGGAGGGAGGCAGGTACAGCACAGTCCCCTGGGCAGCCTCCACCACCATCTGCCTGCCAGCCAGGGAATGTGGGACAGTGGCAGGGACTGAAGTGCCTTTCTCTGGCCAGTGCTTCTTTATTCAGGCTGTCTTCTGCGGCTGGCCTCCCTCTCTCACTCTGTCCCTATGCTCTCTGGCCTAGGCAGCTGCTAGGGACTTCTGAGAAACCGAGGACAATGAAGGACTGCCACACAGCAGATCGTGGATAAACTCGTCATGGGAAATGCTGCCAGGAGCAAGATGGAGTGGCACACACCTGTAAGCCCTAGCCCCGCACTCAGGAGGCAAAGGCAGCAGAATTATTGTGTGCTCAAGGTCAGCAGGTTCTACCCTGAGCCTTCCAAGTAGGCCTGGGCAAAAAGAAAACAACAACCACACAAGTATCTTTCATAGGTGACCTATGTTACACTGGAACTGTTTCCCTTCAGCACACATAGTAATAACTGAAGTTAGCCCAAAGAGGGACTTCGGGCAAGCAAGCAGAGCCAGGGAGTGCACAGTGGGAAAAGAGGTGACCATGACACTAGGAGCCTTGTCACCACAAGACAGAGTTCTTATTAGTCTCTGGACCTGAGGAGCCCAGAGGGCCAGAGGGCCAGAGGGCTGGCTGTGGGAATGACAGGGCAGGCTCCCCGGAGGTCTTCCAAGTACCTCCAGGAGGGTAAGGAGGGTAAGGCTCCCTTCAAGTCCAGAGCCTCAAGCAGAGGCAGAAATGGAGCCTGGCCAGGGTAAAGAGTCCTGAGGGAAGCTGAGCTCAGAATAGCCCAGCTGGAGGATAGAGAGGGAACCCAGGAGGAGGCAAAAGAGAGACACCAGAGGGCTATAAGCAAACTCAGGTCTGCCCTGGGGTGATAGAGAAGGAGCCCTGGGCCCCACTGCCTGGGCAACCTTAGGTGTTGGTATTGGTGGCCTTCTGGAGACATAAGGGTTCAGTCATTAGGAGTGACAGGTTTAGGTCACTTAGGAAATGTGCCCGGCTGACCAGCACAGGTACAGGGCTGTCTCTATACAAGCTCTCCATGCCCTTGCGTCTATGCAGACATTAGTTCTGGTAGGAAGTTCTTTCCATCTGACCTAAGTCAGCTTTTTAAAATCAAAGGCTGTTATTTCCTTGAGAGATTAATCTCCAAAATTAGACACAAGAGCAGTTTCCAGCTGGGACCAGTTACCAGTCTCTGCAGCTCCCCTGAGGCCTTTGACAGGATTGATCATAACTCTTGCTTAAAACACAGAACTGCCATACTGAAGGCTTTACAGACAGATAGTTCTGGATTAAAAGAGTGGCTGAGCTCACTCTGGCCGGATAGCCATAGGTAAGTTACCTAATCTATATCATCTTTAGAATACAGATTCTTTACTGATAGCAGTTAGAACTATTTTATCATAGTGTGTGTGTGTGTGTGTGTGTGTGTGTGTGTGTGTGTGTGTGTGTGTGTGTGTAGGCCAGAGATTCAGTCACTCTCTATTTTATCTTTTTTACACTTACCTATTTATTCATGAGCATGGGTGCCTATGTGTCTTAGAGAGTGTGTGGACATCAGAAGACAATTCCCAGGAATCTGTTCTCTCTTTCTCTAGCTTGTGGGCTCAGGATTGAACTCAGGTCAACAGGCTTGGTGGCAAGCTCCTTTGCCCACCAAACCATCTCTCTACTTTATTTTTTAAGGCAGGCTCTCTTACTGAGCCCGAAACTCACTCATTCAACTAAGCTGGCTGCCAGGAGCTCTAGGGATCTTCCTAGCTCCTCAGCACTGGGTTTTTACATCAGGTGGGGGTGCAGTGGGGCTTGAACTCCTGTCTTTATGTTTGGCAGACAATACCCTATGACTGATCTGCGTGTGTGTCATGCCCCCCCCAACAACCATTTTTTATGGACGTTCTTATACCAAGTGAGTGATTTACAAATGTCTGTTACATAAAATGTTAAGAGTAGGAGAGGACCAGGGTAACAGGAATGGGGGAGGAGGGAGTAGGAGAGAGCCATGCTATGTTTCTAAGCTCCCCAAGGAGAATTCCAAAAACTGCCTTTTGCACCCTTTGAGGCAAATCATTGGTGAAAGTCCACTCTGCTATCTTAACCCTATCTCGCCTACTGCTGCCGAGACTGGCTTGTCAGAACTAGCTCCCTCGGACAGGATGTCACTTTTGCCTTTACTCCATCCTCTGGAATTGACCCTATCGCAGGCCCCTCCCTTAGACTTCCCAAGGGTAGGTTTACTTACTGATGGAGTCCAGGGTCTTGCTCACAGTGCTTGCCCCAAGGGCAGGTTGAGGCATGGGTGTCTATGATTCGCCACCTGCCCTTCTCCTCTGCTACTGCCAATAAGGTGGCCCCAGGCTGGGGACTATGCTGCTGCAGCTGGCCAGGAGCCCCACCTTGCAATGGGTGAGCTTCAGGAAGATATGGGAGCGCCACATCGAAACCTGGTCGGAAGATGTCCAAGGAGGGGCTAGCCTCGGCTACCATCGCCTGTCCCAACCTGGTGCAGGGAGCTGGGTACAGACTGAGGACCAGATGGTTCCGGCCTCCATTCCAGTAAGGAGGCAGGGGCCCGCATGTGTGGTCCTGGCTGGGGAGGAAGAGGTGGAGGCAAGCTTCTGTTGGGCTAAGCGCATAGTATCGGGAGCCTTCCAAGGAGTCCAGGATCCTGCGATGAGCCTCGGTGGTTGTGCCAGCGGGGGAGTGTGCAAAGATCTTGAGGGCATTTCCCTTACATTTGGAGGTGTCAAAGCAGGCTCCCCAGGTGCAGCTGCTCCCTCGGGGAGCTTGAGAAAGCTGTGGAGCATCTTTTGGGAGTGTCTCAGACTGGGAGAAACTCTGTAGGAAGGCAGCATCCAGCCAGCGGGGCCAGCCTTGGGAGCACCCTGGTAGAGGTCCAGGTGGCACTGCCAGGCGAAGGGGGAAGACTCCCAGGAGAATGAGAAGGAGCCAGGAGACTGACAGTGCCAGCCAAAAGGACTTTCTCCTCCACAGGGGCATGTGGCCACCCACAGCCAGGGCTAGAAGGACGTTAGGAACTTCTGTAGCAAACAGGGAAGGTGGGGGACCCCAGGGCAGGAAAGAAGACCCGAGAGTCAGCGCTCTGGTCCGGCACTCTCACTGCATGGATGGGGAGACTGAGGCCCATTGCAGGCAGGCTCCCTGCCTAAGTTCAAACAGCGTTATCACTATCGGCCACCTGTGGGACTGACCCCTTGTGCGCGGCCCTGGCTTTCTGAGCATGCCTTCCCACAACCTAGCCAGCCTTTGCCCTCTCATCAGGGACCTCTGCCCTGGGCCACTGCTTGGGCTGATGCAACCCTTGTCCAGACCACAAGACCGTGCCCATCTGCCCTCGTGGCGGCACCCCCTGACCTTGCCCTTGACCCAGAGGCAGGCTGTCTGCCAGACCACGGAGAACTAGTCTGGGCTCATGGGGGTGGCCAAGGGTGATGTGGAAGGAAGCAAGGCTGATCTCTCCCACTCCTGCCTCTGCCCCAACAGCCTTTGAGAAACCCTGGCTACCCCTGTAGCTTGGTGGCTGGGCTTCTGTGGCAGAGCTAAAAATAGACCTTATGCCCATGTGGGCCACCAGGGCCAGCTGAAGTTAGAGTCTGGGTGCAGCCCATGCCTGCTGCCTGGGGGATGAGAGGATTCGGCGTCCTGTTCTTCTTCCCCTCTGCTATGGCCCCTAACCCTGTCAGCTCCCCTGCACAGGGCAGAGTTGCCACAGGGCAGAGGCCAAGACCTACGCTGTGATCCCGCTCCTGTCTCACAAGCGCCGCTGGTAGCTCCAGGTCCCACGCCAGTAAGCATCTGGTCGGTCCAGATCGCTTTCCTAGCAGCAGCCTGGCTCCGCCCTCACCATCCCTGATTGGCTCCTGGCTAGGAGGCAGGGTCTCTACTTAACCCCTTGCAGTCTCCCTTCCTGGGGTGCTGTTTTGTTTCATTTTGAGACAGGGTCTCAGTAGCCCAGGTTGGTTCAAACTCACCTTGCAACCAGGGTTCTTGAGTTTCTGATCCTCCAAATGCCCGGATTCCAGCAATGTGCCATCACACCTGGCTCTGGAAGACTAATAATGGCCAGGAGGGCACCACACTTCACTTGTGGCCATTTACTGACAGCCTGTCTTTACTACTGATCCAAAGTACACATTTGTCTGTCATTTTCCCCATTACAATTATTATTATTATTATTATTATTATTATTATTATTATTATTAGCAGTAGTAGTGGTAGTAGTGTTTTGGTTTTTTGAGACAGGGTCTCTCTGTAGCTTTGGAGGCTTCCTGGAACTCTCTCAGTAGACCAGGCTGGCCTTGAACTCTCAGAGATCCACCTGTCTCTGCCTACCTAGTGCTGAGATTAAAGGCGAGTGCTACCACCGCCTGTCTCCCTTTTATTATTATTATTTTTAAAATTATTTTGTGGTGCTGAGAATGGGTGCTAGACAAGTGGTCTATCATTGAGTTACATCACTAGCCTCTTGTCATTTTTTTTTAAGTGTTGAAAAAAGCGAAGCTCTGAGAGAGGATAGGACTCCCTAAGGTGACCCAGCTAGAAATGTCCATGAGAAGATTTGAACCCAGAGCCTGGCCTGATGGGCCTTCTACTTGTCCCCCTGACCACTGGATGGAGCTGAGCAGTGGCTACCTGCATCTGTAGAATGGGTTAACAGCATCCTCCTTGGAGGGTTGCCAAGATAGGTCCTAGAAGAGCCACTGGTGGTGTGGGGGGGTTCTGTCCACAAGGAAGTAATCTTTCCCTGATCTGGGAGGGCTGCTGACTTGATAGGGGAGCCACTAAGTGACCATTGTCTCCCCAGTGAGCAGCCAGCCTAAGGACAGGGCACAGTCATGTGCCCAGGAGCATCCTTGGCCTCTTGGCACCCAGAGGTTGGTCTCTCAGTGATAGCTAGCTGCTCAGGCAAACACCAGGCCTTTTCACACAAAAGACAGGTGTGGTATATGCTGTTGCCATCTTACCAGGCTAACTTCCTCCTCTGCCTAGAATTGCTAGAAGGTTCCCTTCCTTCAGAAAGCTGCCCTCACTCTCCTCAGTCTGAGCCAGGACCCTCTCCTCCAGGTCCTCATGCCATTTCTCCTTCTCCCCACCGCTCTCTGTCTCTCTCCATCCACATTTATTCATCCTACTGATCCTTAGCAGCACTAGCTTGGACCAGGTTCCCCCGGAGGCACTAAATATGGGTAGCAGTATAAGTGACTATGTCCTGCCCAGGTTGAGAATGACTGGAAGAGAGATACGATTATCATCCCCATTTTACAGACTCGAAAGCTGAGGCTCAGGGAACTGGAGTGACCTTGCCTGTATTTCCATGGCTTAGCCAGGTTCTAAGCCATCTCTTCCACTTTCTTTTATTCTGAGGCTTTCTCTATGTAGCTCTGGATGTCCTAGAACTCACTATGTATACCAGGCTAGCCTTGAACTTGTAAAAATCTGCTTGTCTCTGTCTCCCAAGTTCTGGGATTAAAGGTATATGCCATGATTCCCAGCCATTCCTTTTTGGTTTGGTTTGTGTGTGTGTGTGTGTGTGCGCGCGCGCGCGCGCGCATGCGTGCAAGAAAGAGAGAGAGAGAGAGAGAGAGAGAGAGAGAGAGAGAGAGAGGGTTTTACTGTGTAGCCCTGTAGACCCAGCTGGCCTTGAACTCACAGAAATCTGCCTGCCTCTGTCTCTAGAATGCTGTGATTAAAAGTGTGTACCACCACCACTCAGGCCCCCACTCCCTTTTTAAAAACTATATATATTTTCCGGGGCGGGGGGGGGGGTTCTGAGACAGGGTTTCACTGTGGGTTTGGAAGCTGTCCTGGAACTAGCTCTTGTAGACCAGGCTGGTCTCGAACTCACAGAGATGCGCCTGCCTCTGCCTTTCGAGTGCTGGGACTAAAGGCATGCGCCACCAACGCCCGGCAAAATTGTATTTATTTTTATTTGGTGTGTATTAGCTTGTCTACATGTATGTATGTGAACTGTGCGCATGCCTGATGCCTGTGGGGGCCAGAAGAGGGCATCAGATTCGTTGAGACTGGAGTTACAAACAACCGTGAGCTGCCAAGTGGCCTCTGGGAACTGGACCTGGGCCATCTGCAAGAACAGGTGCTCTTACGGCTGAGCAGTCTTCCCAGCTCCACTCTCCATTCCTTTAACCACTAAACAAGGCAATCTGTTCAGTGAGATGGACCCTCCTCCACCCCCTGCTGTTAGAGGAGATACCAGTGTGTGTGTGTGGGGGGGGGGGGGGGGGCGCTGGCAGCCTACAGAGAGGCTGATGGACCCAGGGGCAGAGAAGCTCTCTGAGGAGTGACATTGACTTTAAGATTGTAAAGGAAGCAATACTGTTTCCCATTTTGTTTTGCTTTGTTTTGGGCTGCGCTGATGAACCTTGGGGCTTCCATCAGTGAGGTCACTGCTCTCCCACTGAGCTACCTCCCAGTTACTTTGCAACTATGTAGTCAAGAATGACCTCTAATTTCTGCTCCTCTTGCCTTGACCTCCTGAGTGCTGGGATTACAGACAGGCATCACTCACTGCACCTGGTTTATGTGGTGTCACAACTAACCCAGGGTCTCACACATGCTACACAAGCACGCTACCAACTGAGACATAGTCCTAGCTTCCAAACGTGTTTGAGAAAAATCACTGTCACTGTGAGGAAGTAAGAGGAACCCGTCACCTCCCCATTCCACAGTTATTTAGTGAGCGTCATTCTGTGGGCCAGGCCTTGGGGCGGGGGTTAGCTGATAACATCTTGGCTTCATGGAGGCTTCTTTCCAAGCAGGAAGCAGAAGACATAAATGAAAATCTTCCATGATGTCGGAAAAGGGGAAGGGTGGTGGTGTCAAGGGGCCTCTCCTTGGAGCACAGATCGGGCACAGATTCAGAGACAGGGGAATGGATATGTGACCTGTTTCCCCAGCACCACACAGCCTTCAGGCTAGATGGGGAGACCTACTAGGTTAAGCTTAGAGCAGGTGAGCCATAAGGGTGCGTGGACCTGGGTGGCAAGTAGATTCTGGAGATGCTTTGGCCACAGAAGAGAAGAGGCTCTCTGATGAGTCAGGTGTGACAATTGGCTTCAACCCCAGCATCCTTCACAGAGACAGAGTCATGAAAGCCTGAAGGGAGGGTGGGTGTGGGAGGAAGATTGTGTGAACAGCAGTTGGCTCTGGTGAGCCTCCTCACTGTAGTCCTGAGACAGTGAATTCCAACAAAGGCTTGCTTAGCAGGGCGGGAGAAACAGTCAGAAAGACAGGTGACCAAGGCCAGCAGGCTAGAGGACTCCCAGATTATATAACAGTTTGTTCTGCAATTGAAACATTCCACCCAGAGGGGAATCTCCTTTTTTTTTTTTTTTTTTTAAGACAGGGTCTGTATTGTTTTACAGCCTGTCCTGGAACTCGCTTGGTAGACCAGGCTGGTCTTGAACTCACAGAGATCCGCCTGCCTCTGCCTCCGAGTTCGGGATTAAAGGGGTGCACCACCAAGCCCCTCGAGGGTAACCTCTTTAAGCAGGAAGATAAACAACTGAAACTAGATTCAGGAAGTCCCCAAACTGACCCTTGATTAGGCCCCTCCCTCCCGGAGTAAGTAAAAAAAGCTGAGGGCCACAGATAACATCAACCTGAAAAAAGGGCTCTAAGAGCCGGACAGCGGTGGCCCATGTCTTTAAACCCAGCATTTGGGAGGCAGAGGCAGGAGGACAGCCTTATCTACAGAGTGAGTTTCAGGACAGCCAAAGCTATAGAGAAACCTGTCTCACCCCCTGCCCCCCCCCAAAAGGCTCTGAGACCAGACCAGCTACCTGGAAGGTGGGGTCACTTGAAGGGAACACTCCAACCTGCTACCCGTTGAGCTGCCAGCAGGCCAGGCCTGCAGGTTCTCAGCTTGTGTGAGCTGTCTGGTACTGGGGTAGGTTTTGCTGATGTAGCTGTCTTTGAGTCATTTCGACTCTGAGTAACCCCTCACCTATATTCCTGTACGTAACCTCAATAAAACTCGTTGGTTCATCAAGTTAGACTTTGGTGGTATTCGTACTTTGGTCTGTTTGGGGCTTCTTGTCCCCAGGAAAAGTCACACAATGAGGATACCCTGTCATGCTCTGACTGCCACCCTACCCCCAAACCTGGGCTCATAGCTAGCGCATGTTGGAAACATGTTGCCTTTGCATTGCAACACACACACACACACACACACACACACACACACACACACACACACACTCTTTACTTCATTCCTGCAGGGAAGGTTCTCAGGCCAGCTGGGCCTGGGCTTGTCTAAACCAATTCCCAAGCTTGCTTGAAGGCTTGGGTGGAGGCAGAGAAGCTCGTCAAGAAAACAGAGTTCTGGGCTGTGCCAAGGGCTCCCGGGGCATCCGTGGGGCTCTTTAATGTTCGCCAAATCCACTATAACCCATGTCCTGCAGCTGGGTGTTGATCTACAGGGTGGAAGCCATCATCTTGGGGAGCAGGGAGTGGCCAGGGCAGAAGGTGAGGACGCAGTGAGGTGGTGTGCAAAGCCTGGGTTCAGTGGGGAGGAGGTGGGGCTCCTTTTTTTCTGTGGTCTTGAGAACTAGCCGGTGCTCCTGGACCTCTGAGCTCAGTGGTGTCTGCCTCACAGCCGTGGTGGTTCCACCTCCCAGCCTGGGGGCAAGTGTTGCCTTCTGCCTGGGGCACGGAGAGACAGAGAATGGGAGCTAAGGCCACCTCCCTGGGGTTTAGTGAGAACTTACTTCCTCCAAGCTTTCCTTTTTCTCAGGCTGGCCCTGCAACTTTCAGAAGGACTGACTGTGTCCTTCTGAGCAGAAGGTTCCAAATGTGAATGGACA